CCACTGTCATATTTTAAAGAACTAGAAAAAATAATACTTCATTTTATATGGAATCAGAAAAAAACTCAAATAGTCAAGATGGTACTCAGAAATAAAAAGAAAGCAGGAGGATTACGCTACCAGACCGCAGACTATACTATAAACCAATAGTGATCAAAACAGCATGGTACTGGCACAAAAACAGAGAGGTAGATGTATGGAACAGAATAGAGAACCAAGAGATGAACCCAACTATTTACGGTTATTTGATCTTTGACAAGCCAATTAAAAACATTCAGTGGGGAAAAGATTCCCTATTTAACAAATGGTGCTGGGTGAACTGGCTGGCGACTTGTAGAAGACTGAAATTGCACTAACATCTTTGACCATTAAATAAGGTAGACTCTCACAGGATTAAAGATTTAAACTTAAGACATGAAACTATAAAAATACTAGAAGAAAGTGCAGGGAAAACTCTTGAAGAAATCAGCCTGGGTGAATATTTTATGAGGAGGACCCCCCGGGCAATTGTAGCACCATCAAAACATAGTACTGGGACCTGATCAAACTAAAAAGCTTCTGCACAGCCAAGAACGCAGTAAGTAAAGCAAGCAGACAGTCCTCAGAATGGGAGAAGATATTTGTAAGTTACGTCTCTGACAAAGCTTTAATAACCAGAATCACAGAGAACTCAAATGTATTAGCAAGAAAAGAACAAGTGATCCCATCTCAGGGTGGGCAAGGGACTTGAAGAGAAATTTCTCTGAAAAAGACAGGCACACGACCTACCAACATATGAAAAAATGCTCAATATCCTTAATCATCAGAAAAATGCAAATCAAAACTACTTTGAGATATCATCTAACTCCAGCAAGATTAGCCCACATCACAAATTCCTAAAACCAGAGATGTTGGCATGGATGTGGAGAAAAGGGAGCACTTACACTGCTGGTGGGAATGCAAACTAATGCATTTCTTTTGGAAAGATGGTTGGAGAACACTTAGAGATCTAAAAATAGACCTGCCATTTGATCCTACAATTCCTCTACTAGGTATATATCCAGAAGACCAAAAATCACATTGTAGCAAAGATATTTGTACCAGAATGTTTACTGCAGCCCAATTCATAATTGCTAAGTCATGGAAGAAGCCCAAGTGCCCATCGACCCATGAATGGATCAATAAATACTGGTATTTAATAATACTGGTACACCATGGAATATTATGTAGCCTTAAAGAAAGATAGACTTTACCTCTTTCATGTTTACATTGATGGAGCTGGAACATATTCTTTTTAGCAAAGTATCGCAAGAATGGAAGAAAAAGTATACAATGTACTTAGCCCTAATATGAAACTAATTACAGTTTCAAACCCTATTATAGCCCAAGAAGTAGGGGAAAGGGTAGACGGAGGGGAGGGAAGGGAAATGGGGAGAATTGGTAGAGGGAGGGTAATTGGTGGCACCACACTACGGTGCATCTTACAAGGGTACACATGTGAAACTTACTAGGTGTGGAATATAAATGTCTTAACACAATAACTAAGAAAATGCCATGAAGCCTATGTTAACCAGTTTGATGAAAATATTTCAAATTGTATATAAAACCAGCACATTATACCCCATGATTGCATTAATGTATACATCTATGATTTAATAAAAATTAAAAAAAAATATGTTTGGTAAAAATAATAAACAATAAAAATGATTTATTGTTTAAAAAAAAAATCAAAAAGACGGCATTTGGAGAACTTCTAGATAGCCTGAACATGTGGAAGTTCCAAGAGAGTGGCATAGCCATAGATAATCTGGAAGCTCCATGACTTGCCTTATGTATCTCTTCCATCTGACTGTTCATCTGTATCTTTCGTAATATCTTTTGTTTGTTTTTATAGTATCTTTTATAATAAATGAGTAATTAAAATGTTTCCCTGATTTCTGTGAGCTGCTCTAGCAAATTAATCAACAAGGAGGGGATCAATGAGAATGCCTGATTTACAGCTAGTTGATCTATAGGATCTATAGGTAACATCTATTACTTATAACTGACATCTGAAGTAGAGGGGCAGTCATGAGGGACTGAGCTCTCAACCTGTGAGATCTGACACTACGTCCAGTTAGACAGTGTCAGAACTGAATTGAATTAGAGGACAAATAGTTGGTGCTCACTGGAGAATCACCTATTGCACAATTTGCCAGAGGCTAAGTTACTGGTGAAAAGAAATCCCTGCACATACTGGTATCCTGAGGTATTATGTTTTTTTGTTTGTTTGTTTGTTTGTTTTTTCTTTTTGAGACAGTCTTACTGTGTCGCCCTTGGTAGAATACCGTGGCATCACAGCTCACGGCAACCTTAAACTCTTGGGCTCAAGCCATTCTCTTGCCTCAGCCTCCCAAGTAGCTGGTACTGTAGGCACCCACCACAAAGCCCAGCTATTTCCTTTTTTTTTTTCTATTTTTATTTTATTTAATTATTTACTTATTTTAAAGACAGAGTCTGTCTTTATGGCCCCCAGTAGAGTGCTGTGTCATCACAGCTCACAGCAACCTCCAGCTCTTGGGCTTAGGCAATTCTCTTGCTTCAGCCTCACGAGTAGCTGGGACTACATGTGCCCACCACAACACTTGACTATTTTTTTGATGCAGTTTGACTGGGGCCTAGTTCAAACTGCCATTATGGGTATATGAGGCCGGCGCCTTACTCATTGAACCACAGGTGCTGCCCCTGAGATTACAATACAATTATGCTGTATTGAATGCTGAGAAAGAGTGGGAAAAACACGTTAATTTTTTCCTTTGTAGCCTAAAAACCCTTTCCCACTTTCCATCTGAGAAAATTTTACAATTTTCTATCAATATTATCAGGTATTCTCTAAGAAGACTGAGGTTTCTCTACAGCTCTCCTATTATAAGTCCTCCCAGAATTTCCCCTATAGGTCACTCACAGCAATGATAGTTTTCTGTAGCATACACTTAAAAATTCTTCCAGACTCTATCCATTACCCAGCTCCAAAGGTGCTTCCACATTTTTCATTTATTTGTTATAGCACCAATTTTTTGTCATAGACTGCTGTAACAAAATACCTTAGACTGAGCATCTTATAAAAAGTGGAAATTTATTTCTCACAGTTCTAGGGGCAGGAAAATCCAAGATTCAGTGTCTGACAAAGGTCTTCTTCCTTATAAACAATGACCAATATCTGTGTCTTCACATGATGGAAGGGGAGAAGTCTGGTCTTTTCAGCCACTCATAAGAACATTTAATCTCAATTATAAGTGCTCTATACTTAGGATCCTATTCCCTCCCGAAGATCCTACCTTCCAATTACCTTAGCATATGAATTTTGGGGGAGACACAAATATTTAATCCATAGCAGAAGTAGACATACATACGTGTAGTCATTTGGCTATGATTAACATATTTGTTTTATTATGAAATTTAATAAACTAAAAACTAGTTATGAGATCAAGATTTACATTTGTTAATGTATGATTAATATGTAAATCTAATCATTCACTTTAAGAACAGTTCTGCTATAATAATTGAGTTCAAAATTCAAGTATTTAATAATATTCTATTCCACAAAACATAATTAAAATAAAAACAGAAAATTTTAAATGGTCTTAGAGTAGTTTCATCCAACTTACGTCATGCACATATCTAAACCAGCTCTAAATTATTAAAAACAGTTATAAATATCTAAAACAGTTATAAATTATTTGGGGTGGGCGGGACACAATTGTAAGAGGGACTTTATGTAGCAAATGCAATCATTATAACCTAATTCTTTGTACCCTCAATGAACTCCAAACAATAAAAAAAAAAGACAGCTACTATAAATTCAGTAAGTGAGTGCAGCACCATAGCACAGTGGTTATAGCACCAGCCACATGCACCTGTTCAAACTCAGCCTGGGCCAACTAAACAACAGTGACAACTACAACAAAAATTAGCCAGGCGTTGTGTCAGGCACCTATAGTCACAGCTACTTGGGAGGCGTAGGCAAGAGAATTGCTTAAGCCCAAGAGTTTGAGGTTGCTGTGTGAGCTGTATGCCACAGCACCCTACCAAGGACGACATAGTGAGACTCTGTTTCAAAAAAAAAAAATTCATTAAGTGACTTACCTCTTCTTCTGCTAATGTTGTCAAAACATCATCAGTCAGGGGAATTACTACAAAAACAAAACCAAATTATATATATGTTTAGTTAATTCTAAAAAAATTAAGAATTTGATCTAAAGGACACCAAAGACAAAAAATTAAAGATTTCCTTCTCTTCTCCTCGCCTATCTATCAATCTATCTATCTACCTATCTGAGACAGGGCCTTACTCTGTCACCCAGGCTAAAGTGTAGTAGCACTATCATAGCTCACTGCAGCCTCCAATTCCTGGGCTCAAGCAAACCTCCTGCCTCAGACTTCAAAGTAGCTGGAACTACAGGTACATGCCATCATGGTTGGCTAATTTTTTTTAATTGTTATTATTATTTGTAGAAATGAGGTCTCACTATTGCCGGGGCTGTTCTCAAACTCCTGGCTTAAGAATCCTCTCACCTCAGCATCCCAATGTGTTAGGATTACAAGTGTGAGCCACTCGGCCTGGCCTCCCTTCTCAATTTCTAGGTTATATAATTTTTAATGAAATATGTGCAGTTTTTATACAAGTATTTTTATTTAACACCTTTGCACATATGACCAATTATATATAATTTTTAATAAATTTTATATTTATATACTTTGTTTTCAGTGCTTTTTTCTTTTCTTTTGTTTTTCTAAACCCTTAAAAGCGTAGTTAATGATTAATAATGTGTTCCTTAAATATTCTTCTCTGTAGTCATATTATCCTACGTCTGCAAAAATTCATATGCGTATACGTATACACATATTCCGTACATATGTATGTACATAAAAAGGTTGTTATTTTTATCATTTCTGGTTTTACATGAATGGAATCACATCATGCATATTATTCTCATCTTGCATTCACTCAACAAAAACTCTGTGAAAACCCTTTCTATTCATTTGATATAAATCTAATTCATAATTTTTAAGAGCTGCATAATATCCCTTAGAGTGAACATACTATATCGAGCAGTTTCCCCTATTGACTAAACATTAACTTTGTTACTACTTTTTTTAGCACAGCAAACAAGGAAGAAGCATATTTTTATTATGCTTTTATGTAATGATGCTTTCATTGCTATAGAACAGACTCCCAGAAATGGAATTGCACAGAATAAAATGTGTATTTTGAATTTTAATAGAGGATATCAGATTCCTTTCTAGAAACATTTCTATGACCAATAAATAAAAAATAAGGCTGGGTATGGTAGCTCAGACCTATAATCCTAGCATTCTGGGAGGCTGAGGAAGGAGGATTGCTTGAGCTCAGAAGCTCCAGACCAGCCTGGAGTAAGTCCCCAGCTCTTAAAATTAGAAAAAATGGGTGGCGCCTGTGGCTCAGTGAATAGGGCACAGGCCCCATATATGGAAGGTGGCAGGTTCAAACCCGGCCCCGGCTGAACTGCAACAACAAAAAAATATAGCCGGGCGTTGTGGCGGGCGCCTGTAATCCCAGCTACTCAGGAGGCTGAGGCAAGAGAATCGCCTAAGCCCAGGAGTTAGAGATTGCTGTGAGCTGTGACACCACAGCACTCTACCAAGGGGGACAAAGTGAGACTCTATCTCTAAAAAAAAAAAAAAAATTAGAAAAAATTAGCTAGGCATTGTGGCAAGCCTGCAGTCTCAGTTACTCAGGAGGTTGAAGCAGGAGGATGAGTACAACACAGGAGTTTGAGGTTGCTGTGAGCTAGGTTGATGATATAGTACCTTAGGCTAGGCAACAGAGTGAAACTTAAGTCTCAAAAACAAACAAAAAAAAGACACAAAAAGATATTATAAACTCTTCAAAAAATTTTGCCAGTCCAATGAGAAGGGACTTTTTTAACTTTACACAGCAAAATCTAGTAAGTGTCCATTCAATCCTTACACTAGAAAAATTTCCTTTCCTAGTGAAGCTCTATCTGACAATTCTCAAATAATATGCTACTGAAAACATTCAAGGATATTTGCTATTCTAGAGAGGCTACTAACAGGAAAGAGCTTTTTATATGTGCTTAGATGGTCTTATATTAGAACCCATGTAGGCAACGCTAGGATGGCTACTAAATGATTTTAATAAACATAATGAGAACAGTTCTAAGACTACAAAGTTAAAAAAAAAAACTCCCTCTTGATTGGTGTAATATTTCAATATTCATTCATTCATTTTAAAAAATGCAACGTGACAGATTCTATGACTATAAAAAATATAAAAACCCTTCTAATGTGGTAGGCTGAAGATCAGCAATGCTATAAGACACAGAGTATAAGGTCACAAGGCAACTATGTTCAGTGGCACCAGGAGGACAAGATATGTGTGTGAAGAGATGACACCAAGGAAAATAAAAATTAAGAATTCCATGATATATAGCATCAAAAAGAATAAAATATTTAGTAATAAATTTCACCTAAGAAGCCAAAGACATATGCTGAAAACTACAAAATGTAGGTGAAATATATTAAAAATTATATATAAATGGAAAGCCATCCTATGTTCACAGATTAGAAAATGAATATTGTTAAGATGTCAATACTACCAAAACCAGTCTATAAAGTCAATGCAATCATATAAAAATCTCAATGATGTCTTCCGCAGAAACAGAAAATTTCTTCCTAAAATTCACATGGAATCTCAAGTGACCCTAAACAGCCCAAATAATATTGAAAAAGAAGCACAAAGTTGAAGATCTTACACTTTCAGAGTTCTAAACATTTTTTTTTTTGAGACAGAGCCTCAAGCTATTCCCCTGGGTGGCGCACCTGTGGAATCACAGCTCACAGTAACCTCCAACTCCTGGGCTCAAGCAACAATCCTGCCTCTGCCTCCCAAGTAGCTGGGACCACAGGCGCCCGCCACAACACCTGGCTTGCAGCAATCATTGTTTGGTGGGCCTGGGCTGGATTTGAACCCGCCACCTTAGATGTATGTGGCTGGCGCCTTAGCCACTTGAGCCACAGGCATCAAGTCCAGAGTTCTAAACTTATTACAAAGCTACAGTAAACAAAACTGTCTGGTAAGGACATAAAAATGACATACAGACCAGTGGAATAGAATAGTGAGCCTTCACATAACCAGTCAAATGATTTTTTGACAAAAACGCTAAGACAATTCAATAAAGAATGAAGACTGTTTGCAACAAATGGTATTGGGAAAATTGGGTATACACATGCAAAGGAATGAAGTTGGATGCTTTCCTAATACCATATCCAAAGATTAACTCAAAATGATCATAGCAAAACTTAAGGGCAACACTATAAAACTCTCAGAGGAAAACACAGGGCAAAACCTTCATTACACTGGATTTGGCAATGATTTCTTGATTATGTCACCAAAAGAACAGGTAAGAAAAGAAAAATAGGGTAAATAGGACTACATCAAAATTTAAAACTTCTATTCATCAAAGGAAACAATCAACATAGTAAAAAGGCAATCTATAAAATGGGAGAAAACATTTGCATATACATCTAATAAAGAGTAAATAATCAAAATACATAAAGAACTCCCATAAGTTAATAACAGAAAATCAAAGACCTAATCAGGTTTTTCAAAGATTTTTTTTTTTTTTTTTTTTTTTTTGAGACAGAGTCTCACTCTGTTGCCCTGAGCAGAGTGCCATAGCGTCATAGTTCACAGCAACCTCAAACCCCTGGGCTCAAACAATCCTTCTTGTCCCAGCCTCCTAAGGAGTTGGGACTACAGACACCCACCACAATGCCTGGATAGTTTTTTTCTACTTTTAGTAGAGACAGGGTCTTGCTCTTGCTAGTCATGAATTCCTGAGCTCAAACAGTCCACCTGCCTTGACCTCCCAGAGTGTTATGATTACAGGCATGAACTGTAATCATAAAAACCCACCTCGGTTTTTCAAAGGATTTGAATAGACTTTTCTCAAAAGAAGACAAATAACTGGCCAACTAAATGAAAAGATGCTCAACATTACTTATAATTAAGGAAATAAAAACCAAGATCACACTGAGATATTACCATCATGAATAGATTTTTTTTCAAAGGAAGATATACAAATGGGCAACAAACATGAAAAGATGTTCAACATCACTAATTACCACATCCACTAGGATAATGACTTTGTCAGTTTGTGCTATTATAACAAAATACCACAGACTAATTTATAAATTATACACATTTATTTCTCTATTTTTAGAGGCTGGGAAGTCCAAGATGGAGGTGCCAAGAGATTTGGTGTCTCACAGGGGCTTGCACTCTGTTTCCAAAATAGGTTTTCTTGCTGTGCTCTCACATAGTGGAAGGCGAAAGAGAAAAAGAGAAAAAACTGGGATGCTTCTGGCAACCTCTTTTATAAGGTCACTAGTCACTGTGTAAAGGCCTCACTTCTTAGTATTATCATATTGGTAATTAAGTTTTAACATGTGAATTTTCAGGCACACATTTATAACACAAGTGATAGCTACTATCAAAAAATCCAGAAAGCGACAAGGGTTGCCAGGGATCTGGAGAAAATGAAAACACTGGGCACTGTTAGAGGGACTGTAATAGCGTTCAAATACTATGGAAAATAGTATTGTAGTTACTCAAAGAATCAAAATCAGAAAAAACAACACATTAAAAAGTGAGCAAATGACATGAATAGATTTTTTTTACAAATGGGGGACAAATATGAAAAGATGCTTAACAACACTGGTAATCAAGGAAATGAAATTAACACCATGTAACAGTAAGATACCATCTTGTCCCTGTCAGAATGGCCATTATTAGTAAGTCAAAAAACAATAGATGTTGGTGTGGATGAGGTGAAAAGGGAATGCTAGAGGCTGGGCACAGTAGATCGCTTGAGCTCAGGAGTTTAAGACCAGCATGAGCAAGAATGAGACCCTGTCTCCACTAAAAATTACCTACCACCTGTAATCCTAGCACTTTGTCAGGCTAAGGCAGGTGGATTGCTTAAGCTCAGGAGTTTGTGACCAGCCTGATCAAGAGCAAGACCCTGTCTCCAGTAAAAATAGAAAAACTGAGGCAAGAGGATCGCTTGCATCCAGGAGTTTGAGGTTGCTATGAGCTATGATGCCATAGTACTCTACTGGGGGCAATAAG